TATGCATAGAGCATAAGGTATTAATAGAATTAATAATCTGTATTTTTTTATTTTGCTTTTATCAGTAAACCATCTGTGAATTATGTTTCATAAACACACACACACATACACCTTTTTGCCTTTATACATTGTTTCCAATTTCAGTTTCAGTTTTGGGTAATGATCACTTAATGGCCGTTTTCTTGAATAATGAAGAAATCTTTTGTATTATTCCAGAGTGAGCTAGCTTTCATCAGTGTCATTTTTGACCTCTTGCTTTTCAAAGGGCGATGACATTGGCCCAGAGGAATTTGCTTAGTAGTGTAGTAAATACCTTTTACTTTGATACTTTGGAGAAGGTGTGTATTGACTTCTATGATTCTCTCAGTTTTGGACATAATCAGTTCCATGACTTGTTTGCAAAACACTGTTTTGGGTGCTATAATATCCTTTCCTTTGTTACCCATTGGCCCTTATTGCACTATGGCCAATTTTGGTGAAGTGAAATTTCAACCAGTATTTATTGAGTACCTGATGTGTTCTAGGAATTGAGGATATACCATGAATGACTAAGCTCCTGCTCTCCTGCAGCTTACAGCCTTATGAGAAATATGAAACCTAACACTGTAACATCAAATCCCTCAACTCACAAATGTAGCTAGATCCTGATATCATATATTCCCCTTTGCAAAGTTCTCTGCTCATAATGGTATCTGGTGAGCTCATTCTCCTTGGGTTGCAGACCTTCTTGCTCTATACTTACATTGCCTTTCCTTGGTGTGGATGAAGAGAGAAGGAAGGAGAAATAGACAGACAAACAGAATGAGCCAGCAAAAGTGCCACAGCACTCTGATGTCTCTTCTTATAAAGACATTGATCCTATTGAATCAGAACCCCAACCTGTGATCTCATTTAACCTTAATTACTTCCTTATTTAAAAACTTTTTTAATTTTTTTAACATCATTTTTGCACAATGTGTGCATTTTCATCTTGGTTGTATTCACCATACAATTCCCACACCCCTTATTTTGACCTTAATTCCTCCTCCTCTCCCCCCTGCCCCCTACCTTATAGTGTATAGTTGCTTGTTGATTTTGATTTTTACTTTATTATAATTAGTCTTTTTCCTGGTCCCTTATTTAGGTTTTCTAAATTCCTGCTATGAGTGAGCCCATCCGGTATTTTTCTTTTTTTTTTTTTTTTCTGGCTTATTTTGCTGAGCATGATTCCTTCCAGCTCCATCCATGGTGCTGCAAATTGCATGTGTTTATCTTTTTTGATTGCTGCATAATATTCCTTTGTGTATGTGTACCACATATTCTTGATCTAGTCACCTATTTTTGGGCATTTGGGTTGTTTCCATAGCTTAGCTATTGTAAATAGTGCTGCTATAAACATAGGGGTGCAGGTGCTCTTTGGAATTGATGTTTCTGTGTTCTTTGGGTAAATACCTAGGAGTAGAATTGCTGGATCATATGGAAGCTCCATCTTTAGCAGGTTGAGGAATCTCCACACAGCTTTCCATAGTGGTTGGACGAGTTTGCACTCCCACCAGCAGTGCAGGAGAGTTCCTTTTTCTCCACATCCTTGCCAACATTTGTTGTTGCTAGTGTTTTTTAATATGTGTCATTCTCACTGGTGTTGGATGGTATCTCATTGTAGTTTTGATTTGCATTTCCCTGATTACAGGTGATGCTAAACATTTTTTCATATGCCTGTTGGCCATTTGCATTCCCTCTTTGGAGAAACACTACATGACATACACCTCAGTAACATCTTTAAAGATTCATCACCCAAAGCAGTGATAGCGAAGGCAAAAATAAACAGCTGGGCTACATCAAATTAAAGAGCTTCTGTATAGCAGAAGATACAGTAACCAAAACAAAGAGACACCCCACCGACTGGGAGAAAATTTTTGCACACAACACTAATGATAAAGGACTGAACACAAAAATCTACAAAGAGCTGGAGTCTCAACAAAAACAAAGTAAATAATCCAGTCCTTATTTTAAATACAACCACACTGTGAGGTGAAGCTTCAACATATGGATTTTTGAGGGTACACATACATTCAGTCTATAATACTTCTGACCTAGTTCTTCACCCTTCCCCTGACTCTGAGATTCCATTCCTGGGCCCTCAGCAATAGATGTAAAATGTCTATAAAAAACTTTTATCTGTACTTCCTAGCTCAGACTCTTGGCTAGTTTTATCTTCAAAGCTCCTTATCATCAATTAACACTGACTGTGTGTCTGCTTATTAAGTTCCCTTATTTGGGCACTATAACTATTCGTGAATGCCTAAAGTCAAACCTGTTTTTAATTCTTTTTTTTTAAGATTTATTTATTTATGCATACAAGAGCTGGGGTACAGGCCAGAGGCGTGGGGGGTGAGAGGATTCACCAGAGACAGAGTGGAGAACAGAACAGGTGGATTGACTGAAATACACTGCTGAGGGAAGCAACGGGCGAGTCAGGAGAGGTCTGCTGCGCCATGTGGGTTGCTCCCTGGCTGACGGGGAATCGAATTCATTCTGCAGTGGCTGTGCATAGCTTCATAGGTTGTGTCAACCCTTGCGCCACCAGGGAGGCCCAAACCTGTGTTTAATTCTTTCCTGCCTTTCTACCTGCCCTTTCTCAGACTTCCGCATTTCTGCCACCAGTATGCCCTGATGTTTACTCTTCACTATATGATGAATGGCCTGTCATTTCTAGAAATGCTGCCTAGTGATTTTGTACCACACATATTTCCCCACTAGGCTTTGAGGGACTATCCGTGACCTCACGGAAGCCTGCTCCAGTCTCATGCCCTATATTGTAGTAGATTTGTTAGCACTAAGGCCAGTGATTGTCTTGAGAATTTTGCCAAACTCAGGAAATCAAATAGATGAATTACTTACTGTTTATATTTCAGTGGTCTCGAGAAAAACAATTGGATAGGCTATTAAAAAGAAAAAAGTAGTATATACACCCATTTGGGCAAAGAAAATGATGATAATGAAAAAGCCTTTGTAGAACTGGGGATAACTATGCTGGGTCCTCTGAAGGGGCTCTTATATTGACAGAGCTGAATATTTTTAGTACTGAGTGCTTCAGGACTGGGCAGTTGTATGATAGCTATGGCTTATATTCCCATCACAAGATAAAAAAGACCCCTTGGGATCTGTGCTTGAAAGGAATAAATTTTTCAACAGACAGAGGAGATGAGAGTGCTTCATCAAGCAAAGCCTCATTTTCCTACCTAGAATGAGCCTTTTCAAAGAATTTTTTTGTAGATAGAGTCGTGTAAGGTGGATACTACCAGTATAGTTTGTTTTTTGAAAGCTGGTTCAATATTTCAGTCATGGAATCAGAAATCTCCGTGAGATCCTGGGTGATTATGGACATACTATATTTCATTGAAATATTTCTTTATGCAGAGAAAATAAAAAAGTAGATTCTTTCTGTGTATTCATTAAATTCTTAGCTTCTTGCTAATTATTTAGAATCTCAGTCCAGAGATTCTATAGGGATTTGTCACTCTGTGCTCAGCATGTTGTATTTCAGAAACATATAATTCAGTCTTTGTATTATTCTGCTTTAGGATCAAAGTGTTTTTCTCTTCTAATTCCCACCGTCATGATAGTGTGATAACTGGAGACATATTAAAGTCATCAGTTACATAATCGTAATTAATATCGATCATTTACACTTTCTTTTAAAAACTCTTATGGATAATAAAGGTAAAATATTTTTATTTACAATCAGGGTAGAGTAAACCCAGCTCCCATAAGATTTGTAAACTAAAATTCTGGTGGGAAGAATTTATGTATTATATAAAATCTGAAAGAAAACTGAAAGTTTAGATTTTAAAGCAATTCTCTTTATTTTATCATTTGTGTGCCTATTGCAGGATATCTATATATATTTATATGTATATCCCTATTATTTTGAACTGTAGTCATTTATTATGTTCATTGATGTTTACATTTTCCTGTCTCAAGTATACTGAACTAAAGACAAATCTTTTTCTTGATTGTATACAAGCACTTAGGAGAGACCCTAGCTTTCACCGAGCACTCAATATGAATGAATGGCTTACACACAAATTTCCTTCCTTCTGCTCCCCAAATAAAAAGAATAGTTAGAAAGGTTTTTCTATATTACCCTGAGTTAAGCAAAAAGGAACTCTGAAGCAAAATAACTGTAAGTCTGCCTTTAATGTATATGTTAAAAAAACCACAACCCACTAAATAGGTTGAAGATTTCTACAAAAGATGGTTAATGATGACTTTTCTCCTGAAACTCCAGGTATTTGAGTTTTCATATTCTAAGAATAAGACCATTATGTTAAGAAATGTATTTTAGCAATCTTGTTAGCTTCTACTTGTACCATTGAGTAAATCAAAGGTTTCATATTCTAGTCATAAAAATTTTAGGAAACCTATGTTCTTGTTTAGTTCTTTCCCCAACTATCTTCCAAGAAAATGATATTTTTACTCTCAGTACTTTTCTATAAAACAGAAATAATAATGATAGTTTTGCTTCTTGAAAATGGTGATTATAGTATAAACAAAATGACAATATGGAGAAGTATTTTGAAAAGTATAAATTGCCAATCAACTAGAGGGAACTGGTGGAGCATAAACAGATAAAGGAATATGATGATGAAAGTGCTTGAGTATATTAGTGCCTTTTATCCTTGGTTTTCAAGGCTCTTAAAAAACATCAGTTAGGTTTAATTGGGATGGACGTTGCTACCTTCCAGGTCTTGGAACATAGCAAAGTGATGTCTGCCTTTCCTGACTGATAGATTCATATATTTCTGAGCTCTTGGTCCCAGGCAGTTCATCCAAACTATTGGATAAAGTTTCCTTTTAGTGTGTGAAAGGTTCCTTTCCCATTCCTAATGTTCCCCTCCAGTGAATGAAACCCAATCAATATAGTCTAGATCTCCCTGTTAGGCTTTACTTATGAAGTATAATGGTTTATCTGCCACAGATTTTGGACAAATGGCTTAGTTCCACTTGTCTCTCTCTAGGCCAGCTGATAAGACAAGATTTCTAATTTTTCATACTGTGAGACCTCCTTGGGCAGAACTCCATGCTGCAGGGAGGCCTTTGCTGCTCCACCATTACTGGCAACTGGAAGCCTAATTCAGGTACTGGGGAATTCAGGGCTTCAGTACTGGTAATTATATTGTATTATTTCACTTAAAGGTCCTCCAGCTTAGCAGCTGGTTAGTAAAAATGATGCTTTGCCCTCCATAAACAGTAATTGTTCATTTTATTTTCATTTTTATTTAGAACTTGAACAGCGCAGAGAGGTGATATTTATTATTGCTTTATCCCATTCCCTACCATAGAGTTCTACACATATGCTGGCACTTTCTAAAAGTTCTATCACAAGCAATGACCCTTTAACTTCAGTATTTGTTCACATTCCTCACCTCTTTTCTCCACTTTAATCTAATAATTATTCTCTTTTCCTGTATGTTTGATTCTCTCATCCCCATTTTCTCCCTATATTTTGGCACCTCAGACTCATTTCAAGTTTCCTTTCCCATCATAATCCATTTTATAGCCCAATTCCATGTATTTTAGCTTTGTGGAAGAAAGCATCCAACACAGAATCAGCCCTAAGGAATCCTAGATGGTCAGTACACTTGCCCTAACCAAACCTTCTCCTTGATAAAAGAAGTCTGGCATGTTCTCTAACAAATGAAAGCCAGCACCACCTGCTCTGCTTTATTTCTGTTGCCCTTTTCTGTGTTTTGTTTTGTTTTGTTTTCCCCAACCTGTTACTCTGTTAGTCCAGAGGGATTTTCCTAACAATGTTGGAAACTATTTAAATCCTAGAGGAAATGTTTTGCTCTTGCCTGGCCAGTAAATGGCTTTTTCCTTTACTTGCTTATGAGGTTGAAATTACCTATGAGAAGTTTGTAACTACCAAAAATTTTTATTGGGATTCCAAATAGAAGACAGTGCAGGAGATTATTCAGTGTTATTGTTCTTTTTTTTTTTTTTTTCTCTTTTGGTTCAGTTTAAATATCTTGTTTTATGGTCTTGACAGCATTGTGATATGATTTTACTTTTCCAGCCAGTACAGTGGCACTATTTCAAAGGTCACTGAGATACTTAGTCTTTGTTATATCCCATTTCCTACTTAGAGTAGTACTGATTGACTTCACCAAGTTTCTGAGACTTTGGAAGACATCGTAGAAAGAAATTAAAAAAAGAAAAAAGAAAACTATGATACAGACTTAAAATATGAAAGGTAGAAGTAAATGTAAAGGTCCCTTAATATCTCAGTTTAAAAAGATAAACTGATATGCCACAGATTAATATGCCCATAGAAATAATACTAAAATGTGAAGATTTTAACAGTTTACAATATACCTGATTTAGAACTTTTCTCCACTTTGCATCTCTATCCTCTCATTAGCAGAGAATTATGAAAATATTTCATTGAACATTTTCTAATGCAAACACATTGTTCACTTTTTCTATATAATTGAGCACTTAGAAAATTTCATCTTGCTTTGAGTACTTAAATACTCTTCCACATTGAGCAAATTTAATTCTGTAAATTCTTGCTATGTGGAATTGATATCTATTTTAAGATATCAGTTAAGAGTAAAAGTAATTATCTAAGAATAACTATTCTGTTGGTAAAGACTAGTAGGGATTAAAGATATACAGGGTAGGTGATATTGCAAACTTTGATTTCAGATTATGAATATGTGATCCATAAAACCACTCTGGCTCCGGCAGTGGTTACCCATACCCTTTCATTTATTGAATTAACGTTAGTTTACCACACTACAAGTAATAGAAACACAAGCAAGGTTAGGTTCCAGGAGTATATTTTCCCATTTCAGCAATTACATTTATCTCACCATGCCCACCAGTTGGCCTATGCTTTTGAGGCATCTACTTTCATAAATGGGTGCAAAAGTTCACTCTTTGTAACTTGAGTCCTTGGGAAAGATATGACTTCACAGGTTTACCACAGGGGGATGAAGAATTGGGATAAATAAGGTGTGTCCTCCCTTCTGCACAGTAAAGTTAGTATATCCATCCAAGAGAAGTGCAGCCCAGTTAGAGAATTACATTTTCAGGGACCAGTTCTGTATCACATAGGAAATCATCAAGAAAAAGAGCAATGTCATAAAAACTTCTTGAAAATAGTTTTTAAAAAGTTTCTTACTAATATTCAGCTAAAACTAAAGAAAACCAATAAAGAACGGCAAAATACCCAAGAGAAAGTTATCATCACCTCAGTTTGAAAGAACAAAGGAAGCAAATATTTACTGGAAACTTCTGAGACCTACAACTATGTATATGAGAGACCCATCTGAAAGAAGCTGAATTTTTGGTCCAAAAAGACAGTGTCAGCCAATTCAAATCAGCATAGGAAAGAACTGCAGGGATTCATACCTTCAACTCTCTCCTCCTGCACTTTAAGTTTCAGACAGTGCTTATGTAGACCAAGAAATCAGAAGGTAGAGAACAAGGAAGCCCAGTTTATATATGAGTCAGTTCTGAAGGCATAAATCTGTGTGGCGGGGCAATTAGATATATGTGCTTTATCAAAATTTGTTCATTAAATGCATTTTTTCCTTACTTAAAATAACACCTTCAAATTTGACTTCCCTATTTGGTTCAACAGAAACTTATACTGGCTTATGATTATTTACCAATATTATTATTTTATTTTATTTTTAAATTTTTATTATTATTTTTTTCTTTTTTTTACATTGTTGTTCATTTTTTTTTTAAAATATTTATTTATTTATTTATTTATACAAGCACTGGGGACAGTCAGAAGCGTAGGAGGGTGAGAGAATTCACCAGAGCCAGAGAGGGGAGAAGAGCAGACAGAAGGACTTAAGTACACTGCTGAGGGGAGCAGCGGGCGGCAGGAGAGGTCTGCGCGCCATGTGGGACCCTCCTCCGGTGGCCGGGGAGCAGTTTTAAACAATATTTGCTTCCCCCCACCCCCTCAAGTGTAGTCCCCATGGAATGTCCTTCATCAGTGCACCTGTGCACCATCACCTCAGTCCCCTGTGCTCCTCCCTCCCTCCCTCTCATCCCTCTCCCTCCTCCCCTGCAGTATGTCTCTGATTTATAATTGTCTGTTTTAGCTTTGTTGTGTTTTATACTCTTACTATTTTTTACACTGATGTCTTATTTGGTTCCCCTATATTTCTGCTATAAGTGAAACCATCTGATATTTTTCTTTTTCCTTCTGGCTTATTTCACTGAGCATAATTCCTTCTAACTCCATCAACGTTGCTGCGAATAGCATGAGTTTATCTTTTTGGATTGCTGAATAATATTCCATTGTGTATATATGCCACATCTTCTTGATCCAGTCATCTATTTTTGGGCATTTGGGTTGTTTCCAGGTTTTTACCTATTGTAAATAGTGCTGCAATAAACATAGGGGTACAGGTATTCTTTTGAATCAGTGTTTTTGTGTCCTTTGGGTAGATCCCTAGGAGTGGAATTGCCAGGTCATATGGTAGCTCCATTTTTAGTAGACTGAGGAACCTCCAAACAGCTTTCCATAGTGGTTGGACTAGTTTGCACTCCCACCAGCAATGTAGGAGAGTTCCTTTTTCACCACATCCTCGCCAACATTTGTTATTGGACAGTTTGTTCTATAAATGGTGCTGGGAAAACTGGACCACCACATGCAAAATAATGAAACTAGACCACTACCTCTCACCATGCACAAAAATCAACTCAAAATGGATTTAAAAGACCTGGAAATAAGACCTGAAACCATAAAATATAGAGAAGAAAATATAGGTAAAACCCTACAAAGCATGCATCTCAGTAGCATCTTTAAAGACTCATCACCCAAAGCAAAGAAAGTCAAGGAAAAGATAAGCACCTGGGATTACATCAAACTGAAAATCTTCTGTACAGCAAAAGAGACATTAACCAAAACAGAAAAACACCCTACTGATTGAGAAAAAATTTTTGCACTCCATACAACTGATAAGGGACTCATCACAAAGATATACAAAGAACTCACAGGGCTCAACAAAAACAAAGTAAATAATCCAATAAAGAAATGTGGCCAACAGGCATATAAAAAAATGTTCAGCATCCCTTATCATGAGGGAAATGCAAATCAAAACCACATTGAGATACCACCTTACACCAGTAAGAATGGCACATATTAAAAAAAACTAGCAATATTTCCCAATATTAATGAATGTTCTCATATTCAGTTTTAGTCACAATATGAATTTTCTCTCTTTCCTAACATTCTCAATTCTAAAACCTAGCTCAAAAATTTTCCAGTTAAGAAAGCCAATAAATTATTTCTCTCTCTTTTTTTTTTTTTTTTTTTTTTTAGGAAAAGAACTTGATTCTGTTTCTATTACTTGCAGGTACAGGTCCTAATATGACCTTACATACTTTCTAGTCAAACTTTTATTCAGTTCCTTAAACATGTTCTTAAGACTTTTTAAAGAAATTATTGCAGAATAATAAGTAACTGAAGATGAAAGTGCCCTTCTGGCACGTCATGGGGAAAAAAAAGGGACAAATAAGCACAAAAGCCAAGGTGACATGCTTGCTTGCAGCCTCCTTAGTATGAGGTAAAAAAAAAAAATCATAAGACAATAATAATTTTACTTAACTATTTAAAAACCTTTGTATTCAGGGGCCTTCCCCGTGGCGCAGCAGTTGAGCGCTGGGTTGCCAAACTGTCTGCAGCCCCTGCAGTGCCCGTGGCTGCTCCCCGGCCACCGGAGGAGGGTCCCACATGGCTCGCAGACCTCTCCTGCCACCCGCTGCTCCTCTCAGCAGTGTACATCGTCGGTCTGCCTGTTCTGCTCCCCACTCTGGCTCTGGTGAATTCTCTCACCCTCCTGCACTTCTGACTGTACCCAGTGCTTGTATAAATAAAATAAATAAATCTTTAAAAAAAAAAACCTCAAAATTTAAGGTTTCAATAGAAGTAGTAATGATTAAAGATTAAAAATTTCCGGAGAGGGCGGAGCAACATGGCGGCGAGGAGACGCTGCGAGTAAGATCTCCCATTAAAAAAAAGTTAATAGGGAGGAAAAGCGGCAGGTCCCAGTGAGAACTGGGACACGGAAGATAAACGGACGACTCCAGCAAACTGCCCGAAGAAGAAAGT